CGCCCATTTTGAGGATATCCTGGTAGTCTGTGACTCCACAGAGGTCCACCATACCCATGTTATAGGGCTGGATAAATGCTGATCCTACCAAGCGCTGACAGCTGAAGCAGCAAACGCGACTTCCAACTTCGTTAATTAAAACTTTTGGTGCACAAACTATGCGATCGGCTCCGAGCCTCTAAACGATGGGGTCTATTCCGTAACCGTCTACCTCGACGCGACATGCGTAAAATAGCTTGGGCAATTTCGTGAGAGTATATAATCGTTTTATTGCGCTCTGCGCGCTTCTCAAGCGTCTCTGCACAGACCTCCTTGAGTGTAACAAGATGTTCAGCTCCACTTAATCTGCGGGAGTGTCACTGTTTTATTTAAAGACGATTATCACCAAAGTTGCATTAGCAACGTCGGTCATTATGGCGTCATTCCACCTGTCGCACACTACGCACGTCTCTGATCTGGTAGTTCACAAAATGCTACCCCGACTTCCAATGAGGAAGCGTCACAGTTTCTCAGTCCTTTTCTATCCGAAATAAAGTGCAACCCTTTGTTCCCCGCGCAGCCCAGCTCATTCAAAGTTCGAATGACAAAATCTAGTCAAAGAACATTTCAACATTCACGGAAAGTCGGCGCCAGAACTCACTGCTCCGCACAGAATTGTTTTCAGGGATGTAACAGGTCACAACACCACACGGAGGAAACTCTAGATATTTTCCCGTCCCAGGAGACAACTTTCATCTGATATATGTCACTCTATTTTCTCGGCCCTGATCGTCGCCAGCGGATTACCATTGCGCGAAGATGTATAAAGACTATCTCACATGGTGGCTAGAGGTGGTCCCAATTTGCAGTGATAATCTGCCGAATATTCGCAAAAGAATCAAGAGTTGTACTGATTTTACGGCAGCTCTCAACGGTACTAGGGCTTATGTGTGGAAGACCACCACAACAACCCAAAGGTAATAAGCACAACCAGGTTACCTCACAGTGTGGGCGAAAGAAAGATAAATAAAGATATCGTTTTCGAAAAAGTTTGGTGAAAATCGGTAGATTTAAGATAATTTCACCAGTCATGGCAAGCTACCCCACGGTACGTAAATATTTCCGCTTTGCTCAGTGAGGTAGACGCATGTTTTTGGGTAGCGCAAGGCTCCACAAGTCTGGACACGTATTTTCCCTGAAATCCGACGGTGACCACTTGAGCAACATATGATATACTCTTATACAGAACACGGCTTTGTTTCAATTCTTTCGGACAGCAAAAACACTGCTTTACACGCCGTAGTTCTTCTGCAGATCCTCCTGAGGCGGTTAGCTGCATAAATATAGGGACAGACGGTGAACATTGTTAGTGACGGCTGGTGTGAGGCTGGAGCCGGGTCCCGCCACTGGTAAATTATGTCCCCATTGTTGGCAAGTTTTTGTCTACGCGCAAATTTTTCAGATTTTGAAGTGGACGATGTGTGAGCGCTATCGAATCAGTAAGTTTATATGGTTAAAATGAACCACGAATACGAGTTCCGTCAGCCTTTTCTGACTGTGACACAATGTAGCGCCAACTCTACTGGTGCCAAGCAATGAAGGGAGTGCGTTTTGTTGCCTACATGCCGTTGATAATATGGTACCCATTGCTCCAAACTACATTGGTGGTACTTATTTTTAACTCAGAATCCAGAATGTTTTTTCTTCTTCAACTTCATTTGGTGCGCGTGAAAGTTATCAAAATATGACTTTTTTGACAACATGATAACTGGAGGCGCGCATGATTATAAAGATAAAGGGTCGGATTAAACTATTGGTTAGGGTCGTCATTTTCCAATAGTTTTCATCTGCACACCACAGTCTATGTACAGTGATGTTCACAGCCCTCCTGCTGTTGTCGGATCGTATGTCTGTGGGCTGCATGGTCGACGGGCTCCAAAAAATCACATGTCCATCAAAAGAAACGAAGCAAACAATCTTGGAGGTCTTTCTTGCATGGGAAGGATCAACATTCGTGTTTGACGTCAAACCAGCAAAAGTTAATATTTGCACAGACCTTAAGTCCTTATACAGCTTCTCTAAAACGCATACAAAATTCAGTTTCCGGTTGCTGATCCTTAGACTTTCCCTGAAAGCATAGTTCGAATTGGGGAAATTTCTACATAACGGGTTAGGATTCATTTGGTATCTTAAAATCTCTTCATGGAGTTGCAGTTTTACTAAAGTATATGTCACGTACTCAAGTTATGTTTTGAGCCGGAAATTCATAGTTCAATTGCTGGCGTCCCAGAATAATGTCTCTAAATGCTAATTGAGAAATTTTATGCAAGAGTTGGCTTTTTAGTGCTTATTTTTTTGTTTGTTCCGGAAATATACATAAACAATAAATAGTCCGTGTTTGCCCGCGCAAGCTCAAAATGAAGCGCCCAATTGTGACCTGTGTAAGAAAGAGATCCCCACCGTTGCAGCCGGCGTCCCGCTTGAGTAAGTCAAGGAACCAACTGCAGCTTGTAAGGTTGTTAATTTTTACGCAGTAAGTACAATCTATCCGGTCTCACAGCAAGTTTATGCCTTTTCCGGTATGCTATGGAAACAATCAATGGGTCTGTGGGCAGCACGAGTAGGCAGTACAATAAGAGGGCTAGCAATTTGGCGTTCCGCCAACAATTCGGCGGACTCGTACGGACCAAGGATATTCTCCGGTCAGTCGGGGGCGCAGGGTGCTTCATTTCTGACATCCGAATTAGGTAAATATCGTAATTCACAGTAAGTCAGAATAGCAAATAAGTACGGACACGTGGCCGACTTTGTCCGCTTTCACTGCGGGTCAGCAAACAACTGGGTACATATCCTGTCAACCTACAGCGCCCACACGAGCAAATCAATCGGACAGGCACCCCATCAGTTAGTCAGGTCACATGCCAGATCGATGGTGGAACGATGAACGGACACACACGCACAAACTCTCTGACACACCAAAGCAACGATTACAGTAACCAGACAGATTTATTAAAATTGCGGACTCAATGTGGAAGTAGCAAAAGGGTCTGCTAAGGGAGACTTGGTTGTAAGTTAGACTGCAATCCGATGTAGCAGTCAGCTAACGGTAAATAAAACTTCTAGCTCCCGTGGTGAGGCGGCAGTGAACAAATTTCAAAATGATTGTCGTCATTCAGGTTGAGATACGGAATGACGGTATGAAGCAGACATGAACGTGTGTGGACAATGTCAAATGAGGGACGTACTTTAGATATGTAGTGCTAATTGTTGACCTTAGTGCCCGATTCACAGTGTTGGAAGAAGCGGAGTGGACAACCCTTGGAGTAGCAGAAGGGAATGAAAGATATTAGGAACCGCTCGTGTGCTGTTGGTGCTACTCGCCTTTTCGAATAAGAACCACGTGATCTCCACTCTGCTCGGTCAGCACCATACATGGAGAAGGGCGCGGGCCCGCACAAGGCGTTTTAAGGTGCCTTACAGTTAAAAATTAGTTGTGAAAAAAGACCAGCGCATCTTCATTAATTCAACCTTGCCAGACATGAAGATTGCGCACGTTTATTCGAAATATAACGAACGTTCGCTTATTATTCAGGGCGCTCCAATAGACGGTCTGGTTTAAGAGGGAGATGGACGAAATATAGGTCGGGAAGATCTCCTAATAAAACCACATAATAAACCTGCAGAAAAGCCTATAGACGAAACTGTAAACGCTATTTTTTCCTTCGTCCTGAAGCTGCAGCAAGACCCCTATGGGAAAATTTTCTGGACAGTGTTTTGGCCTCGGCCCGCGTAACATACACGAAAATGACACGAGCCAACTATTATTTGATTTGCATTTCACTGGTTTACTTTCAACTACTGGCATCCTTTTTCATCTCCATTTCCCGTTAATTAAGTTCATATGCGTGTGGCACTCCCGTTTATTTTCACCCGACTTGGTAAGCCAAGTGAGCATGTCGCTGAGCGCTGGTCTCATTGACGGTGTTTCTTGCGAATAGCTTGTCTGTTCACATGAACGCTGCTCGGAATTCTTGGCGGTATGTTCTTTTACCGTTCAAAATATTGCGCACTGCATCCGTGGGCATGCAGGGCGGGACTTGCGAGACGACTCAAGGAAACGTCAACACTCGACGGACGGATTATCATTGAACAGATCTGCGCACACGGCTGGGCATCAGGTTACAGTGCCTCTCTAACATAGTGAAGGTTGCAATGCTTTTCTCTTGGTTAATTACCTCCAGGTGGAGCAACTCTAAATAACACGACTATATCAATCTTTGAGGATCGCTGGTGGTGGATCCGGTCAGTTGGGAGTTGCATTATTTTATGAACTAGCCACTCGGAGGCAAAAGTGACGAAACGTTTTCCGGTCATTCAGTAAAATCAGCATTGGATGAAGAGAGGGTCATTTTTGGATCCACCTTAGCGCATGGCTAGATTCATTCCCCAGATCAATTCCACTTACTAAGGATTGGCATTTGGGTCTGGAGTAAGTCTTCATCTGACAAGCCGGACGGCCTTTGGAGGGGTTGTATTTCGGGGTTAAAGTGATCTGCGTTCATGTTTCACGCCTACTTCCGGGCACCTAAAGGTCAACCGCAGATAAAACAGTCAAAAGCACCGACCGAAGAGCCGGACGATGAGCGGTTTAATTTGACTCATCTATTTTGGCGCGCTTTTCGAATGTAGTGCGACGAGATGTTCAAGTGTTTGCCGTTTGCATGCTCCTTCTCGAACCCAATTTAAAGCACTATTAGACATTTATTTATGCGAATCCTCGCGCTGGCGAGCATGCTGCCCCGCGCTGAGAACATAAAGAGCAGTGCTACACCCTTTTTTCACTTGTGCCTTTCAGGTGAACGACAGCCACTGACCGACAAGAACAAAACCGACCCGGGAGACTTGGGCAATAGCCTCGATCCTGTGTATCAATCCGTGAATCGGTGACCGAAGAGCCGGACGATGAGCGGTTTAATTTGAACTCATCTATTTGGCGCGCTTTTCGAATGTAGTGCGACGAGATGTTCAAGTGTTTGCCGTTTGTGAAGCCTTGCGGAAAGCAGGTCGACCACATAGACCGCAGGCATGCGAAGCTTGAACATGTTCCGGACGAGGTTATGCGTAATTTTCGTACCCTCGAAGAGTGTCGTCTGGACGCGAACCAGATTAAAGAACTGCCCAAGGTAATAATCTCCGTCCGTGATTTATTCTGCTAGAATTTCTTCCGACTGGAGCGCATTCGTTACCTTACCCTGAGTGATAACGATATAACAGAAATTCCTCCAGGTGTTGGAAAGTTCTCTCATTTGATTGAACTGGATATAAGTCGCAATGGTAAATCAATGATAATCTGTTACGAGTAAATCGATACAGAAATTTCGGTTTTACCTACAAGCATTCGATTCTGTGACTCGCTACAAATCGTCGATATCAGCAATAATCCCTTGCACAGGTGAGTTTGCAAGCTGCTACCGTCACAGACCACCGCGTGTTGTTAATTTTGGAACCTTAGTGCTAGTTTTCATTAGAGAATTCCCGGTTGCCTGCGCATTCTCGACTGCGCCGTGGTGTGTGACTTATTTAGGCGAAGTCAAAAACGATCTGCCTGCTCGCTGTACACTGGCCAGTGTTTCATGGGCGGTGTGCATTCTGTTGTTTCCTGCAACGGAGGTCCGGCTCTTCAGATACCCAGGCCAAAGTTTTTCGTGTCCGATTGAATTTCTCTACATACATACGGGGCATTTTGGACCACCGGCTGTCATTGAGCCCTACAGGCCCTTCAGGGCCGCAGACTGTGTTCTGAAAAGAAGTCCACGTGATGCGGGGCTCTAAGAGAAACTTGTGAATGGTACGATGGACACTGAAAACACATTGAACATGGATTAGAAGGAAAGCTAACGCTGCGCTGTATGGATGTCGTGCTAACTGAATGTACAGCAGAAATCGGTCATGTGACCGTGTGCGGGGTTGAACGTAGTCGATGAGAACTCACAACAGGCCGCCACGCACTCCGTGCACTACCGAAAAATCTGCTCTCTAGTATTGGGTTTAGCGTCCTGACAGTCGGTTTAATGAGTCGGAAACGTTTGGGTTCACATCCACTGTGTAGTGTGTGTAAGGTGTGAGGCTGAACAAGGTGACAACCCCTTGAACATGATCGCTCCATATTTACAAACCAACATCACCCATTGTCACTGACGAAACCGCTGCAATAGAGCCTAAAGAATTTGCAGCCAGCGGGGAGATGGCCCAAATGGTTAGAGCGCGAATTTACTAACCGGAATGCTCGTGTTTCGAACTCGACCTCTGCCTCTCGGCTTCCCCTGTCTAGGTTTTGGCAACCTGGCAGTATCGTAGCCCTCGTGCAACTTTCGGGTGGCATGGCAGTTAGGCATGTACAGTGTGCTACAATTGAACCAGCAGCGAGGGAAAGACATTAAGGGTACGAGAAGGTTAGGGATACCCGCTCACCGCGGGAGAAAGTTGCAGTAACACCCAACAACTTATCCGGTCATCGCCTACCCCGGTCAACTGAGCCTGAGCATGGTTGAGCTAACCGCGACAGCTACAACCACTGTACGACGAGTACGCGGTTATTACAGCTGACAATGGTGATGATGATGATGAGCTAACCGCCCCATCACTCTCCACTCACATCTGACTGGGCACCTCTGGTGATCCAGAGACTGACGGTTCACAGAGTCAACGGCAGCTTTTAGCCTTTCAAGGAACACAACTGTCGTTGTTTGCTGGAACTAGTATCGCTGTTCCAGGATCTGTGGGCAAGGCAAAAACCTTCACCATCTCTTTCGATATCCTCCAAAGCTCTCGGTCTTTCCTTCGGCTCTTCGCTAGTTAGCATCGAGAGATTTGTCTACTAGTGTCGATTTCCTGGCACCAATCATTGGTAGCGATCTCGTGGTGTCGTGGTCGAATCGGACGGACAGCACTGAACGCCGCTAACATAGCTCCTTTCACATTTTGCCACGCTTCATCCACATGCCCACTGCCACCACAGTATTGATTCACTGCGGAGAGTTATTGGAATAGCTCAGGTCGATACTGTTGAGATATGATAGTTTTTCGGAGATGGTGGGTTGACATACTTTTATCCAACTTGTGAAGGCCTGAAGGGAAACGGAATGTCAGGCGTGCACGCACCGTGGCGTGATTGGAATCCATTTGTGTGCCTCAGAAGGAACGACGGTCTGGAGTTGTAGCTTCCCACCGGTGGCTGACGGCCACTTGATCCAGCTAGGTGCACGGTGGATTTGCAGCTGGTGGCCGCCAGGTCATCCAATGCAGAAGTTTGTACTGGAAGTTAGTTAGTTAGAAACACTCCATGATCAGACACAATTAGAGGAGTCGCTATCTATTGTTTGTGCGACGTGCATCAAGTCTGAGTCTACTGCCCAGGTGGGATTCCAAGGAGCTAGGACGACTGACTAGACTAATCATATCGCCCGCAAGTACCACAATGTCAGTGGTTCTTGCTTGACGAATGAGTCTGGATAACTCTCGACGGAAAGTATCCTCTTCAGCGTCAGAAGTACAGTCCGTTGGGGCATAAACCGACACTAAAACAGGCGTAGGACTAATGACTCCGTTCGTCTTGCATCGGTTTTGCTTTCAACATCTGCTCGTCACATGGCGCCGACATCTCCAAATCAATCTTCAACCCTGGGCACCCAATCTATGTAGCCGCTTTCAATGTCCGCACTCTGGAAGAAACAAGACAACAAGCTGCTCTTGCACTCATACTGGTTTCGCATGGCATTTCTGTGCATCGGAAACAATAATTCAAGGTGCAAGCACAGTGGTTAAGATAACCGCTCCATCACTCTCCACTTGCATGTGGCTGCGTACCTTTGGCTACCCAGAGGCTACTGCGGCGGGGTGTACAAGGGTCGGTATCGTTCTAAGTCACCGCGCGGAAGCATCTCTGATTGACTGGGTATCTGTTGATAATCTTCGTCTGGCAACATCTGTGAAAAATTCTTACAGGGGGATGTTCTTCAATGTCTGTTTATCGTGTCTACTTACGCCCCAACTGATTGTAGCTCTGACACCATCATAGGCAAGTTTTATAGCGCCTTAAACACTGTTGCAGCGACCTTAAAGCTCAGATCTCGTTGTGGTTGCTGGAGATCTGAATGCACAAGTGGGAAGGCGTAGCACATCTGAGGCTCAATCAAGTGGTTGACATGGATTGGACTCGGTACGTACGGACAGTGGTGGACGATTGCTCCAGTCGTGTGCTGACCGCACGCTGTTTATATGCAGTACCCACTTCCAAAGTAGCCAAATTCGTCTGACCACATGATGTCCTCCAACGACGTGCCGGTCACGAACTCAAGTAAATCACATTGCTATTATACACCGACGGTACGGATCAGTAACTGACGGCCACTCGTTTTGGGACACATTTGTAGATTCCAACCATGCACTCGTCCTTACCCGTTCAGACGCATAGCAGGCATCACTTTCCATTTGTCTACCAGGGCCGCGTATGGTGTGGACAAATTGTCTGGCAGTGACGAGACTGGAAGATCCCGATGTCAGACGAATTTACCAGAATCATCTAGTCTTCCGAATTACCCACAATCGGATGTGTACTCATATTGGGACTGGATCACCACCTCTTTGCACAGTGCTGCAGTTTTGTCTGTGGCACGGAGCTACCAGGCTCAATCAAGCACTGGATATCAGACCGAACTGCGACACTGCTTAAATCTCGGAGAAATATTCCAGACGGTCCCGAACATAATTTGACGCGATGATTTATCAGATGTCAAGTAGAGGTTAGAGTTAGTTAGTAAAAGTTAGCGTGCGACCCGACCGTGAAGTCTGGCGGATTCGGAAAGCTAAGGAAACGAAGAGGTCCAGAAAGCCGGTGATGCTTGATTATTTCAGTTGATTCGCGCGACCGGTCCTCGGAAGCCCATGTGGGCGAAATCATTAAGGATCAGAATGGAGTGACCATCTTGAACAATGAGGAACACATCGACCGGCGGTCTGGACGGTGAATGTGGAGCCTCGGAAGTTTATGACTGCATGTGTTCTCTGAAGCGACATCGAGCTTTTGGCCCGGATGATCTCCGACCAAGGTGTGGGTGAAATCCTCAGTCAGTACTTGTCTGATCTGTTTGCCTGCATTTGGGAAAAGGGACTGTCCCAGACAATTGCGAGGAGTCTGTGATAGTGCCCAGTTTCAAAAAGGGGCTCATAGTCGGTGTGGTAACCACATGGGGATCAGCTGGGCCCCGGCCTTAACGAGACTGTTGGCGTCATTTGTGCTTCTTTTGACTTGTGGTGGCTCGTGGATCACTGACTCGAGGACAGAAAGCGGGATTATGGCCTGATAAGGGTTGCGTTGACCAAATCTTCACACTCCGTCAGGTGAAAGAACAACGCCATACGTATAAGCGACCCACAATTCTAGTGTTCTTTGATTTCTTGGGCACATTTGACTCAGTTGACCGGCCTGTCCTCCTCGATACGCTTGCCCACCAAGGAATGCCCCAGAAGTTCGTGAACATAATAAGCGCTTTGTATCCCCAGACTTCCAGACGTATGAGTATACGGCGAGCTCTCCGAAAGCTTCCGTATACAAAGCCGTGTCTGTCAGGGATGTCCACTTTCTCCATTCCTATTTAATTTCGTGATCGATGAAATCATGAGATGAACACTAGAAAGTATCTAAAACCCTGGTGTTCAAATAGCCAGTGAGGAAACCATTGTCGATCTGGAATAGGCAGACGATTTCGTTCTCGTCTTCAGACAGAAGGCGGTGTTTTTTTCGGATGAACTGACCAAAGTCATACCGTCCATTGGTATGTAGTCTGCACCCACAAAGTGTAAGGTCATGCTCGTGAACATGCGGTCACAGCACGCTACTTACAATCCAGAGGGAGGCACTCGAAGCTGTTGTGCGTTTTACGTATCTTCGAAGATGTATTAGTTCTGATCGTACTGTGACAGATGAGGTCAATACACTAATGTGCAAGGCCCAGCCCACGTTTGCTAATTTGTGACACCTAAGACGTCAAAGCTGTATATCACTGAATCTAAAGGGACGTGTGTATCAGGCTACAATGCGGACTGTTTTGTTGTATGGCCTGTTCGAGCGGCGCAACTGAGCAACCATCAAGTGTTCGGCAATAGTTTTCTCAGAACCATGGTACGTATGGATTGATGTCGGCGAATCCATAACGAGGCAATTGGAAAGCGAGTTTTAGGTTGTGCAACGGCTACGTCCATTGAAGAATGCGTCCAGTACCAGAAGCTGCAATGGTTGGAACGTGTTGCATAGCCTGAAACATCGTTTGCCGAAGAGCGCTGTTTTCCATGCCCAATTCGTAGTGGCGAAAGCAGCGAACTGGCCAACACTTGGTCTGGCAGAGGGGTACGTACGAAATCACGAAACGTTTGGGTGCTTCCGGTTTTACGCTTACCAGGATGGGAACCACTTGAGACGCTTCAGGATATGGCTGCCAGTCGATATAAATGGCCTTTGTGTCGTCGTTTTCTATGCAGATTGACTGAATGGGTATCTGGAGGTTTGAGCATCTCGGAATGATTGTAGTATCCTGGCTATTCCGGAAATCGGTACTGCAAACGAACAGCCTGTGGTCAGTACACATATGAAGCAGGCACTATCGATTGTCCTTGTATCTCGTATCCAAACCAAAATGGTCACTCATTTGGGCCTCAGCAGCTCTTAGTCTGCCTACCACAAAAGTGCCTCAGCTTTTAGACCATCAGCGTCATAGCATCTGTCTTTGACAGATTCATTTTTGAATTTCGTTGGGACGTAAGCGGGCACAGTAAACAATGTGCAGTAGTCCTCATTTTCTCGGGATTTTTTGGACTTTGTCAAACGAACTACGCAGAGGCGACTATTACCGATCAGCTAAAGACGTTTCGGCTCAGTCGCGCAATACAATACCCACGCCAGCATATCAAGCTACAACGGCCTCTGCACCACCCGAGGTGGGCAGCTGAAACCTGGAAGACAACAAGGTGGCTCTGTTTTTGTCAGACAGCACGGGAATGCACAGAGGTTCCAGAGCACGAGCAAGATCCACTTGCTTTCCTGTTTGCTTCAATGTGTGAACATGGAAGGCAGCTAAGTAATCTTCTTCTTCCTCCTCCTCCTCCTCCTCATCATCATCATCATCAAAGACAACAACATTACTGTCGAAACTGACGCTTCACTGTCGTACAACCATGAGGTTCGTCTAATTATATTTAAAGCCCTAAGGTGAAAAGAAGAGGAAAACAGTTGGTGAGGGAGGGGACCTAATGCTGGCCTATATCAAGCCCTCTGAGGTACCTTCACCTCCAAGCGCTCAATCACACAATCTGCAAAGAAATTGACAGCACGAACGCCACTGACATCGATTAACCGCCATTTTTACAGTTTCTAGCCAAGCACAGGTGGAGTCACGGGGAACCATACTGGAAAGCGTACAACACCAACAACACAGAAACTCTTCGTGATATTCTCACGCCCCTCTGTCACGCGTTGTCCACCTCGCGGTTTGCGCCATTCTGAAGGAGGCACGGAGAACAACACTCGTCTCGGTAAATGGCGTTTCGGCACGCGTAGCACATGATCGAGCCATCATAGGCGCTAATGCTGGATGTTTTCCCCAATTGAAGTGCCTGTCGCACAACCAAATACCCGTTTTCTAATAGTCTCGTTACTAACACGCTGACACCATCCAAAACCAGGCACTCTTCAAAGGCATCGATGGTCAGTACCTGAAGACGCCTCACATCTTCTGTCCGCAGAGGTCACGTCTCGAACCCGTACAACAACGCAGCCCTCACTGTAGCCTAGTACGTGACCCTTAGGATATAGTGATGTCTTTTTGACGTCACAGGTGACGCAACTTAGCAGCCGTGATTCGAGCCTTTGAGATTCTCGCAATGACTTAATCAGACACATTTCCGTCAGAGCTAATGCAACTATCGAGGTATGTAAAAATTTTCATACCCTCGAATGCTTCTCCTTGAATTATAAGGGATATGTTCGCAGATAACACGTTCTGAAGCATGACTTTGCACTTTGAAGGTGCAAGGCGCATGCCAAAAGATGGTGTGATGGTGTTTAGTCTATTCAACAGGGCTTGGGGGTCTTCAAAGATGAGAGCAATGCCATATGCGTACTCCAGATCGACAGTCTCTCACTAGCGACAATTTGAACACCGGGATTTTGAAGACCGTCCAGCTTTCGCCTTTTTTTTCGTCAATGATGAAGTTGAACAAGAATGGAGAGGACGGACATCCTTGTCTAACACCACTTTTTATAGGGAAGCTTTTGGAGCAGCCGGTGGCGATCAATCCTCGTCATCGATAACTGACGGCGATCTGGTCTATTTGGATTCGGGACTGGTTTGTTGGTGGACACCACGTTGTCAAGCGATTTCCGCTGTTCCGGAAATTCGTACTGCAAAGGAACAGCCTGTGATCGGCACACATCTGAAGTAAGTGATCCCCATTGTCCGTGCGTCTCGTGTTGAGTCCAAGACGACCACAATCGGGCCTCAGCAGTTCTTAGTCTACCTACATGGGCGTTCATATCACCGACAATCACAACGATATATGAGCTTGTAGACCGCTGTACAAGGGTACCTAGAGCGTCATAGAAGCTTCCTTGGCAGATTCAGAACTACAGTCAGTTGGGGGCGTAAGCAGACAATAAACAAGGTGCAATGGACCTCACTTCCTCTATATTTTCTCACAGATGTCGCCAAATGAACCTCACAGAGATTTCTCATTGTGTATCCTATCAAGTAGAGACGCTTCCGCTCAGTCATTCGATACAATACCCACCCTAGCATACGCGGCTGCAGCGGCCCCTGCATCATTAGGGGTGCGCAGCTGGAACCTGGGCGAGAGCGAGGTGGAAGTCAGTTCGATCACAGTTCTTGCGTCCTGCGTTTTTGTTTCTAACAGACAACATACATCAATGCAGAAAAATCCAGGACACACACAAGAGCCACCTGTTAACCTGCTTGCTTCAATCCGCGAACATTGGAGGTCGCTAAGAAGGCAGGCTTTCGGGGTTTGAAAACAGACAGAAGTATTTAGGGTTGTTACTGAAGTTGGACGTACAGAAGCTGCAGCTGAGTGTGATGCAGGGCGAGCAAAACGGTCAGTTCTAGTGCTGGGACCTGCGGAGAGAGTATTCATGTTTGGGTGGGGGTAGGTGGAAGACGGAAAACGTGAAAGTGTAAGAAGGGAGAATTCAGAAGTAGCATGTTTTCGCTTATCCGCCCTGCTGTATGCAGCAAGTAAGGCGACCCGACTGGTGAAAGCTAAGTAGACATTTCGAAGCTGTAGCTGAGCGTGATGACTGTGAACAAACCCGTTAGTCTTAGTGTCGGAATCCGCGGCGAGAGTATTCAAACGGGGTTGGCGTAGGGTAGAAGAAGAATACACGAAGGAAATCTTCCAACGATAGGGATATAAGCTTTACAACTTTCACATTCCAGCCACTGGCTTCAACAGTACTGCGACACCTAAACCGGACACCAAAGATGCTAATCCGAGAACTTCAAGAGGAATTTCGTCCAGGTAGAGAATGCGTTGTTTGACTCTTCGCATTGCCTCAAGTGGCGTCAAACATATTGCCCTCCAACAATTGCGGCTGTCTACATCGAATGGGCTTTTCAGTCCGTAGCTAGGTTACTTCTCTTATACGTACTTGGTCAGAACAAAGTATCCAGGAGAGCTCGTACTTATGCCTCGTGCCCTCCATCCTTACACTTTTTGTCAGGTAAAGTCTTAGGATGAACTGATCGAGAGTTTCTATTCGGCTAGTAGGGTAATGCAAAGATTTATCTCCCTCGCTTTGTCCAGCTTTGTCGTAGATCTATTCGTGCAATGTACATTTGAATGGATCGGGCATCTTGGTATCGAAATTACATCTACCGAAAGACTAGTAAATTTATCCTGTTCCGACGACACCGCCTTGTTATTTGACAATCACCTGCTTGCCAGCTGTATCTGAATTTCTAGATATCCTTCTATCTGTTAGAATGTCCACGAAATAAGAAACTTCCTAGTTTCCGCGGCCGCTGTGTTCGGGTTGATAAGACCACACCGAAAGAAATCCTGAAACATGGCCGAAAATTACCATAGTTGAAATATTGCTGCTGACATAGCGGCTTTACAGCTCACACTGACAACCTAGGAAATAAATTCACGTGTTTTTGCTATGAAGCGGAACGGATAGTTGAGCATCTTTTTTAAAGCCGTGTTCATAATGTTAAGTGGCTTATTTGGGTACCAAACATATCCGCAGTCCATATGAACTGGGTTCTTGTGGTTCAGCTGTCTTTTCGGTTTTTATGCTTAACGCTTTGCTGATTGGCCCAATCGGTTGGCTGGACAATAGTGTCTCTTTCTAACTCATTTGTGGGGTATCTTCTGATCGGAAGCTCCAAAGAATCAGTACACAGGATTTTTCATCAACCACAGGAGTAGTACCGCATAAGGGTATGTAATGTGCTATTGCGCGTACTTCAATTTATAAAGACCATTGTAGCTCTTCCAGCAAGGGCACCCGCGGTGGGGCCAACTTTTGTGTGATTCCCTGGTATTTATTCACCGACTTCGCTATGTATTCTGATATAGACTTCCCATGTCATCGTGCTCCCATCCGCCCTGTGTACGTGTCTATCGATGCAAACTCTTCACTCTGTACTACATTTCAGTCTTCCCGCCGGATTTTGTCAACTTTCCAAGCTTCGCATTCTGTGCATGAATGATATTTCGCTTACAGAACTGCCAACTGATTTCGGAGAGTAAGTCTCATTTACTCTACTCATTCGAAGTTGATCACTCCGACTATACTGCCACTTTAATCTCAGTGTCCAATACTAAAAATTTTATCCCTTAGCTTTCCTAATTCCCACTATTCGTGAGGAGAGTAGAACAGGTAAAAATCCGTGGCTGCACCTTCTGTGTCCGCCTGTCCCCTTTTCTCCTTTTCTCGGATCAATGTAGTTTTATTGTATTGTGTATGGCTGACTGAGTAAGTGAAGTAATTAAGTAATAACGGATTGATGTATACATCCCTCAATGATGCTTAACTAAAAACGTCGTACAGCTGTAGCACCCTTCCGGTGTCTAACTGCCATGCCACCCGAAGGAAGCACGAGGGCTGAGCGACTGCCAGATTGCCCAAGCCTAGACAGGGGAAGTCGAGAGGCAAAGTTCGGGTTCGAACCACGGGTCTTCCGGTCGCTAGATTCGCGCCCTAACCAATTGACTCATTTCGCCTCCTTGCTTCACTAAAGGCCTGTTTCTAGCATCCTTAGATGATATTTTGCAACATCGCCACTTCCACTGTCAGTTCATTGTGCCATATCTGTAGACCAAGAGGACTAAACATTCGCACACTACGTCAATTTTGTTGAAGACTTACGCATTCACACTCAGAGTGGCATTGTTCCCGGAATTCCTTCGATCTAACCTATGCTACTCCACCCCGCTTTGTTTCCAGACTCCACTTACTTGAGAAGTGTGAACTCCGGGACAATTGTCTCAAGTCACTACCCGACTCTTTCGCGCAATTGGTTCGCCTTGAGTTCCTCGACCTGGGTTCGAATGAATTCCAAGAGATGGTGAGTAGTGGTATCACTGGGGCTGCAACACCCAGTAGGATGGCTTTGAAATTCGTGGGCACGTTATTTCCCGGCCACTAAGTCTTCGACTAGGATTGTTCTCACAAATTTATTCTGTCAATTCTATCGCTGCACGCATATTCGGGTTTACCACAGCGTCGTCACTAAACGCGCCGGGGTTTGATGCCAAAGGTTTTCCTGTTAATGCATGTTGTGGGGTTGAATATGAACAAATTTTCCAGTTACTTTGTTCCCGGACCTTCAGATGGACGGACACTCAGGTTTACGGACAAATATGTCTGGAACCATTCCTCATAGCTGTTTTTTTTACATTTCCGTTTTCTTTCTACACACTGTCTTGTTTTACCACTCGCTATGTTTCTCTTTTGTCGTAACTTTGCTTGACAGCCTACCGTTCTTGGGCAGTTGGTCAACCTGACCGAACTGTGGATGGATGATAATGAACTGAAAGCCTTGCCGCCGGTAAGCCCCTCGTTTTCTTCATTACCTTAATCCCGTAGCGGAGATCCCTCCGAAGCAAGTTCGCTCCAAGGGGGAGTGGTACGAAATGTTCCTTTTGTACGGGGCAATGTCCATTTGACTTGTATTCAGCGATCGTAGGCCACCAGCGTCGTACCTTCAGGTCGGTGCCGCCCAACTGTAATTGGGCATACTGTGATTTCAGGCTACATGTTATGACTGCCAGGGAATCTGCGCGCTGTGAGTGGAGGTGTCTAAACGGAAGATATGAAGCGGTTTCAAAGCTCTATGTTTGATCTGCTGCTCTACCATTAAAGTGCCTTTGGAACCCAACAACCATGATGCGAATACTTTTCAACTGTTCTCAGTCCACCTGCTGCCTGTCTAGTCGCAATTGGGATACAAGAGATACGAAGTCTACCACATATCGAATCCTCAGTGGAATCCCTCAATGGAACAAAGTTAAATTTTGGTCATGCTGTGTCATGTATAACTACCGCGTTGCATGGATTCAAGTTATTGCGTTGGTGGAACCAACAAACCTCAATGACCCTTAGATGATTTTCAGCGGGTTACCGATGTCCTGAAGCCGTATCACATTCAGCTATGGGCCCCAACACCTACCCGACTTAGATCAGTCACTCTTGGAGACACTTGTCCTATAGGAACATACTACTGTAGGTAGGTTTTAAGTCAATTCACAATTGGTCTAATTGCCTCAAATAATAAGTAATCAGAATAAGAGTGCTCCAGGTTCGTCCATCATTCAGCGCATGGCAATCATGCAGCTGGAACAATCTATGTGGGATATCCACAGAATCCTCTAGATTTCGGCTGTGAACTGATTCCATAGCACTTCAGGCGCAATTCTAGCAACTATTTGAACCGGATCCTTCTTTTTCCCGTTTTACCATCATATTTCGTTTGGTTGAGTAGTCGTCAAGTGACAATCCTATACTCGCTTTTCTGGCCATAACCGTAGACTTGCATTAAGAATGACCCAAGTTCCGCCTAGTACAACCTTCTTACCTCACACGAGATGATTGGGTTACTCTCTCGCTGCCTAGTTAGTGCACACGTTTGTTCTTTGTTGTTGTTGTTGTTGTCGTTGTTGTGTTTTGGCTCGGCGCCTGACGATCGTACGAAAACAACTGGGCTGACTATGCTCTATTCTACTGCTTTCCCCTTGTACGGCTTTTCCAAACTGTCCTTGTTTGTTTGCTTGTGTGTGTGTGTGTGTGTGTGCACGTTCATGGCCCTTTTTTCTGACTGCCATTATTCATTTCGTTCGCGGTTACTGAATGCGCATTTTTCTCGCCCGTTTTCTTTTGTAGGAAGTTGGCAACATGCAGCGATTGCAGCAACTGGATTTGTCCGAGAACGCGATCAACGCTCTTCCGGATGAGATAGGTGGTATGGTATCGTTGTGCGATTTGAATTTGTCGCAAAACAATCTGAACTGTTTGCCAAACACGTTCGGTAAGTAGTTTACAAAATCCTCTCAGTATTTTGCCTGCTTTTCCCCAATTCCGCTTACAGTCCATTTCGTCGTGATTTTCCTTCCAAACTATCGTTTAACACGTTTGAGAACCTCGTGAAAAAGCCTCACTAATGTATTGCCACACAACTCAATATGGCTCATGATCTACGGCACAAGATTTCTGGTCTGAAACCATCTTTCAAGTATGGATGGACTTTAGCAACTTGATACTATCACGATCCCCCTGTTTTCTTTCGGGTCGCATGCCGCAGCTGTTTCACTCTTTTTATTTGTTTGCTCCACTGACTGGTTAAATCGCGATATTCTTTATCGTCTTCTGTGTACTGCACATTTTTCAGAGGAATGTGTGCATTTGTGAACGTATTGATGGATTTCACTTGCTGGCAGCCGTGAACTATTGATCTACTTGTGACACCTGCCGTCTGTCAATTTTCCTGGAGTGTTCACTCTAGTGCTTCTGACATGCTTTTCGGATAACGGTGTGTTGGACTAATCTTGAATTTGCAGACATACATCGGGAGAGTTTAGAATTCGAACCATGTAATGTCCGCTTTAGGTCGACTGGAAACCTGCATTACTGTTGAGTCGCCCCCAGATTGCACCCAAATAACATTCTGTAGTTGTCCATAGTTTGATTCGATGTGGTATATCCAGTGAATTTCACTTATGTTTTCATCATGCGCTTAGCACACTGAAGTGCTCAGTGTGATACAGCACTTCGATCAGTTTCGGTCTATATGACAAATGCCACGGAAGTTTGTTTCTAGCGAAGTAGTATGTTTTGAGCTGAACTTACACAACTCCCACTCAGGGGTTTCCATAGACAACTTCACAGCAGTCAACTGATTACCTTGTTCCTCACCGACTTGATTTTTCTCTCCACCTATCCATCCGTTAATTCTCGAACCATTGTTGATCTGCCGCTCTGTTTCCAGGCCAACTGAAAAAGTTGACTGTACTGAAGTTGAATCAGAACCAGCTTTTGACACTGACACCTTCGATTGGCGGGTACGTCAACCGCGCTTTTATTTGTTTGTTTGTTGTTCTGTTCGGTTCACCCCCCGTGTGCTCAAGCAGCTGATTCGTGTCATTTATGCAAGTGTAAAAACTAGGATTGTGACCATATACTTGACAGCCCTCAACGGTGGGCAACTTGCACTACGTGATAGTGTTACCACGTGGCATTTTTCCTCGCCGTCTGACACTTTTGAGTGTTAACTAGTTTGTAAATTTCATTCGTAAACGAACTTGCTTCTCAGCATACACTTTTTGGCCTGGTCGAATTCCGTGATAAGTGACTTTTATGAGACCATGGTTTTTGCTTATTAGATTAGCAACTTTCAGCTTACCTTCAAAGCATCGTTCATATCTGATCGGATCCCTAAGTTCAGGATTCTTAGATTGTTGGACTGACATCGCAGTCGCATTCATTTCAAGGGGCACTTGTGATGAATCCCTTAATCTGTAGATTTCTGTCTCCGTGAGTTGGGGGACATTACGGAAGGATTTGTTGATCTCACTCGGTTTATTTTAACTCTTTACTGTGGGTGCACATGGGGTTACCGTTTATAAGCTTACCGCAGCCAGTGGTGTTCGTCCCTTTTTCTCTTTCTCAATAATTCTGTTGTCAATGTAGTGATGACATTTTTTCCATTTGGCTACATACACCGGTTGAGGTGCAAGATGTAAAGCACCACATTCGAAACCCGAACCTCTTGTCAACATCTGGAACAAATTGGTTTAGTGTGTTTTTTACTCTACCAATCCCATGGCTAAAGCCCAGATCGCTTCTCAAACCGGGAAGGTACTCTGGCACATACACAGCGTATCGTAGTTTGCATGATAAAATCTACAGTCTATGGGGTACGCCTTGTACTGTTTTCTAAACATGACTGCTAACTTTATCGTTTAACCGTTAACATATAGTCAACAGTTCGGAGAAGAGCCGAATAGCTATTGGAAGAACCAACGCGCATGTGACTCCCTCATACTCCGTAGGCTACTTATTTCGTATGCCAACGGACCAGTTACTTTGCATATCTGTTTTCCTTCAGTTATGAACAGAGACGGTCCAGATGCTTTTAGCGAAACGTCACATCTCTAACCGTTTGTCTGTCAGGGGAAGAGTTTACACTGCGGTGGCGTGATCCATACTGCTTTATGAATCAGAAACGTGGCCCCTACGCGCAGAGGACATACGAAAGATGTCAGTGTTTGACCATCGGTGTCTCCGAACTATTGGTCAGGTCTGGTGGGAAAAGAAGACCATCTGCTTCGCAGAGCTGTTTTCGTCCAGCCCTGTGCTGAGTAGAAGCGACCTGGCAAGGAAATACGAAAACACTAACCAATGGTTAATGATACTGACAGAAATGGCTCAATCGCGCAGTCAATGGTGCTCATGCATCAAAGTTATCGCTTTCACTGCGTAGCTACTCGATTCCCGGACTAACTGAACATGTCATCGCCTTCAAGGCTTGACCCAATCTCCCGCACTCCCGTTCTCCGGTGATCGAAACTGTAGCAGCTGGAACCCATGTGTCTATGGTACACGGTTTATAGCTGATAAATGATTGATTCATTGACAACTGTAAACGGAGAACTTAATCACGTACCTTTTGGGATGATCCACAACGCTTCTTAAAGGGGTTACTTGGTCCCTAGAGGCGTTTGCTCATTAGATCCTGGTCGATGAGGAACATCTGTGAATATTTCGAGAGAAGAGTACGAGTACCACTGAATTAGATGATGGATTTTCGATAACAGTATTGTCCAAGTGACTAAGATTCCTTATCCTCCCACTATTAACGCACCTGCTGAGCGACTGTCAGATGGTCGTTGGTGCGCTTTTTCAACTTCCGCTGACTACTGTGCAGAGATGTCACCGCAAATTCACGCAAAGAAACTGCATCTCATGAAGGCTACATAGGCTACAAGCTTTAAAAAACGGTGGGTTGATGGCACTCACGAATAAGGACACTGTCGATTGATAAGTTGTGCCCTTACTGACTAACCAAGCTGTCTGAGCATCGGACTTTCACTCCCATCACTTATTGTTGCATCCTTCCCTAGTGAATCTACCAGTTCCTACTCATAGCCCGCGTCTGCGTGCCAGCTTAATACGGGTCTGTATTCGATTTCACGGGCTCTTTATCGGCTTGTTTTTCTCATGATAAAATCAGAACCCCTGCTATAGTCTTATTTGGCTATGCTGTGGACTGCATTGTGATCCGAAGGTTCGGGTAAGGTGTACGTACACAACTAAGCAAACGAGTTAAAACAAAACAAATGGCAGGAAAGCAGCGGGATATGGAGTAAGGTCAAGGTCATACATGTACTAGTTACTGAAAGTTTGTGCTGCTGTTCCCATACGGAGTGCACGGCATAAGCGTGCTATTAACACTACCCTGGCTATCCAACTTCATGTTCAGCTGCCATCCGGCTTCATGGTCAGTTTTGGGATTACAGTGCAATGTTGTTGTGACGATGCGAAGCCACCTTTGATCGATACTGAAAACTGATTGCAGCTAGGGAGTTCAGTCACACTCAAATTCGAAAAACTTAGTCTTGTATTCCCATCTCAGCACTTTCAACTTATGACGACTTTGATAGGGTCTAGAAACCCCAGGGCACGTTCCTCGTCACAAATCGAACTATTTGTTTTTTATGAGGAAACCAATCCAATTAATTGGGAAATTTGTTTTCCAGATTTTTTAATCCTTAGACGGAAGGCAGAAGAGATATTGAAAGAAAGATTGCGGCAAATACTCTCATTTGCACATGAATTTAGTTTTGATGGGTGGCTCAACGGAATCCAGATGAATCTCTTGTTGGTGATGGTCCGCTTCAACTGAATCAGCTGCATCAGGCCGCCCCATGTTCCAGTTAGTGTGATATTCGAGAGGTTTTCAGTGGTCCAATGTGTAGTGTGTTCCGTCTAGACAAAAAAGATGTTCGTTAGTATTTCGCCCGGTAGGGGGATTTGAGTGCTTTCTAACACCATATCATGCACAAGAGCAAGGTGTATGTTTCCAAACCAAGCTTCTGCCTAAACCATCATTCATCTTTGCTTTATCTTCTTCCGAGCGATCTCGGTCTGGTTCATTTCCCAAACTCCGGTATCCTTCAACCCTCGCACCGAGCTCACTCTTGAACCAAACGTTATCAGTCGTGACGAACATCACTTCCAATGACGTCATCCTAACCTTTTGCGCAACCCTAACCCCACCTCCCACACTCTGATCCATCCCGTAAAGGGTCCCGCTTGCTGGTGGATCATATTAATGGGGACATCGGGTCTCTAAAAGTCGTGGCCAATAAAAGTGCGCTTGTGGATTCATCCTAGAAGTAGTCTCTTTTTCGAGAGATTCAATTAGCAGGATTACTGTTTACTTGTAACGTTTTTGCACACAGACCAGTACCTTTAAGTGTCCATATTCTAGGTCTAAGGTAGCTCTTTAATGTTCGGTTACTTAGTAAAGCCTTCCTAAGCGAACGTGCTGAAACCGCGTCACAAGAAAAAAAGCACCCGGTTTTGATCACAACACTAGTGTATCCAAAAGCCCTCCAAACCCAACGCAGCCATATGGACCCAGTTCCGCGATCCGAAGAATCCTGATGGATCGTCAGATCAATCAAATATGCTAATATCCAAGTTAAAAGATGATCCGATAAAAGCGAATCTGGTTTGTTTTCTCGTGCACCAAATGTTTTATTCGTTGGTTTGTAGGAGAGGAATAGATAAGTAGAATCAAAGCAACTTCTTCAAGTAATACTTGAAACTAGTAATGTTAGATTGACTGGAAACCGGGGTATTTGAACTTAATAAAGTTTTTGCAAAAAATCAGTGATTTTTTTCTGGATGCCGCTTCCCTTTTGACGCGAAAGCAGGCCAAGTGAATAACTTACTTTGTTGACCTATTTTATAGCGGTGAGGTCTCTCAACTAGCAGACTTGGTCAATGCCGAATGATGATTCAGATTGCCCTGCCTGTTGATTTTGGTTTTCGTTACCTTGTTAACCAATACTTGAATGTTAGTGCAATAAACTCTAATTTATTTTACTGGACTGTTTCTCGTCATCTGATTCGCATCAAAGTTCATTTTGGCGAAACCCATAGTTCCACAAAGACATCTATTCACCAACAAAGATGTGTTCTCCGCTTTTTGTTTTGTTGATGCCATGCACGGATGACGTTCGGTGCGAAATCGAACCCACTGATAAACAGCCAATATTACATGATAACACGTAAACAAATTGTTTCACGGAATGCCAGAGGGGAACGGTGATTATTTTTTCGTTTTCCCGACGCAATGTTTTCGTCAATGCTATCCACAATAGTGTACTTGTAGAGTTTTCTCCGGAAATCACCTTTGTTATCGGTCCCAACGTTAGCCACTTGGTCGTGTTCGTCAGCAAATAATTTCCTACATTTTTCCTTATTGTGGATTGCTTTTTACACCATTTTCGCTGCTCATTCGGCTAGTGGATAGTGTAGCACTCGTTGGAATACTCGATATTCTTTCACATAAATGCTGCCAAAAGTTACAGATCATGGGTATGCACATCGTTTTTCAAACACATGATTCAAACAGAAAGCTAGTCTTGCTCAGCCAACCAGTGTCTCCTCCGTGAAGGTCTCATTTCTGATAACTAGCCTTTTGGTATCCTTGCCCAGCGAAAACCCGGTTGAAAGGGACTGAATCCAACCTACCTGGACAAATGGTCTTTCCAGTTTTCCTCTTTGAATAAACCACATCTCAGCTTGAACCACAGACTATCTGAAGATGTTTTGTGAAAAATTCTATTACAATCCCTATCAGAGGAAACCGAAAGCCATCCACCCTGTATTTCATGCGTTTTTTTTCGATAACGGAAATCAGATAGGTATTCTGGTTTGGCTTGCTGGTATGGACTGCGTGCGAAGCATGGAGCAGTGGTAAATTAGGCACTCTATTTTCTTGACTTAAACGGGTCTGGATTATTTCACACATAGGCTCTTGCAGACTTTATGGCGATTTCTGATACCAACCTGTATTTTTTCCTTCCCTTCACTTTCATTCAACTGTTGTGATGGTCGGTTATCTACAGTTAGATGTAGTTTCCGTTCGAATCAGTCCGTAGATGATCGGAGATAAGAATAGATGAAACTTGTGAGTGTTTGATCTCAATTTCGACGTAAACCACAAAGCATTTATAGAGAAAGAAAGATGTGTGAGTCACAAATCAAGACCCGTATTTTTCGTTTTTTTCTCGGCTATCTCTCGGGAGAGATCACTATCCGTTACTCCAAACAGTCTGTCCAGGGGGCTATAGCGCAACTAGCGTCGCGCTTAAGGACTAGTCTGTTTGTTGTTGGGCTGTGTTTTGGAATATTCCAATTATGCACCATCGCCAGAATTTCCCTAAATTCATGATGGATGTTCCTGTCAGAGTTTCGCAAGGGCTTGCATGACGTACAATTCATAGAATGTGAAATCGTCACCTTAATGCTGTCTTGATGCCGCTTAGTGCACCCGCGTTCAGTCCAGCTCTGTGTCACATACCCAACTTCCTTTCCTGTTATGCACACTAACACTGGATGATTTAGGCTGTTAGCATCACTTTGGTAGCTTGGCTATTTTCCCACTCTGTCTTAAAATCAGTTGGCCATTTTTCAGCCGGCGTACAAGCTCCCAACTGCACATGCCGATGTGTTTGTTAATCCACGTTTAACTATCTCCCTTCGCTTGTGAAGCCAACTTCCTCACTGTACCACTTCAACGTCCCCCATAGTATGGTCCGTTACGAAAATCTACATCGATATCCCGAACCTTGCGCCAACTGGAAAATGAGTCGACCTTTGTATAGCAAATTCAGTTGAAAAGTATCTTGAGCGAGGGGTTCAGCTGGAATTTAGTTTAGTCTCCGGTCCACACCAACTTAATTTGCAAATGAATGTACTTCGTACGTTTGTACTTGCATACAATCTAGTGATTAAGTAGAACACAAAACTGATAGAAGCTCTTGAACAGCGCCTATCCGATGATCTCGCGAGGTGTCAGTTTTAAGGCGCTGAAATAATTCTGTTCATTCAGAAATGCTGTGCTTAAAAATTTTTGTCGATAAACGAATGTCGTAGCTCTTCTTTCTCCAATAAACTGCTTTTTTGCACTTGGCTTTTTAAACATAAGCGATTATAGTCTAGTCAGGGATGGCTGTAACTAGATTTGTTTTTTCTTGTAAACCAGTTGGTCATGGAGTGTATCAGTTTCGTTCTCATCTTTCTCGTCCGCCTGGCATTGGAGGGCTAGCCTCTGTTAGGGGCGATAACCTAATCAGACTATTAATATTTGAGTGGTCCGGTGAGATTTAGGGACACTCAACGAAAATGCAGTTGGTTGCGTCACTGATTGAAATTCATCACTTACTTATTGCTAACCTGTCTGGTGAGACCATTGTTGTTACTGACGAAAATGATCATCAACTAGGGCGGTACGTCTCTTCCTGGGTTCATTAGGGGCGTGTTGGAGGGCGGTACCACCAGGGTGAGCGGCGATGAATTTTTTGCAGTTTTGTTTTCCGTCCTCAACTGATAGTAGTAGTCCCATGCCCGACAGATGAGCTGTACGCCATTATTATTGACCGCAACGGTCGTTTGTCATTCTATCAGTCAAAGCAAAACTGTTACACTACGTATTCTTTATCGTGATGTAGCAATTTTTTCAGTAAAGGATAGCGCTCGAGGTAAGGATTTGAAGATAGGGTTATATGACTCTTGTCATGAAGTGACTCTTTTCAGGTTGTTTGCCCATCGAAGACAACCGTACGTGGTGGTGAAGTGGAATGGTGACTCCTGTCTGGCGATAGTTTATCTTGAGCTCAGTCCATTTTTCATCCAAGAATGCACAGCGTTTTTCCACATTGTTTTACCCATCCGAAATTAACACAGCGATAATTGAACTTTGTCTACAACACTCCAACCTATCGTCTGTGGCCTTTTGGTTGTCAGACATTAGTTCGAAGTTATTGACCAAGTGGTACGTGGTTTGAACCCAACATTGGCATCTGGGTTGCTTCTGTGTAGGCTTGGGCAATCGGATAGTATCCCCCGTCTCGCGCCTCCTTTGGGTGTTACAGCCGAACGATTATTATTAATTATTTTTAATGATGGGAAACAAACGCTCAACAACCCACTGATGACGATGATGATGAAAGAGTGTTACAAGTGTACAATTATTATTAGGTTGTCAGAATAGGCCTGCCAAGTCCGTCCGCCATCCTGGAATCGGTCACTTTCGG